GATCTGCCTGTTGATTCTATCCTCCATCTTTTACAGATGCATTGCACATCAGACAAAGAAAAGCAAAAGCAAAAGAAAAAGAAAAAGGGCACGGCAAGCTTGAAAGACGGGACAAGTTTGTTATCATGGCAAGGTCTTTTGATCTTGTGAATCACTCATAAGTGAAGGTACTTTGGTGAACTGAAAGCACCAGCCAGCATCGCGTGTCATATGGAAGTGCACTGCACGAATGCCCATGCCTTCGGCTTGAAATAGATATTTGAACGGTTCTAGATTGAATATGGTCACGCTATCTCATATGTATGCATACTAAATCTGGACATCTCTGGATGGATCGTCAGTTTGTGTGTGTGTTGCGCGTGTGTGTGTGTGCGCGCGCGCGTGTGTGTGTGCGCGCGTGTGCGCAGAAACAGAAGTTGCGCTCAATCCGAGCGAAGAAATCGACGATTTCATTGGCATTTGCAGGCATCCAGAGAGAAATCGACAGTTGCAAATATAATCGAGAGAGGTGAAACACTCAAATACTGGGTGCTGAGACATCACGTACGTCCCACTGCTCGGGTAGTGTCGACTGTCGACCACAGCTCAGTTCATCACATGCAAAAAAAAAGGAGTACCTCAAGTTCCTTCTGACATTGATAAAACACTTGCTTTCCTACACCAAAAAAAATGTAAAGGTGATTTCATGGTATGGGAGGAGGAACACTTTCTATTTGCAATCTACATGTGGGGGTGGGGCATCTTCTCTCAGACTAAATCTACGCTGAACCAGATTTACTTGTTATACGTACCGCTTATCCACCGCCCCGGCATCCCCGGATCTGTACGCCGCCATGCATGCCACCATGCATGCCGCCATGCATGCCGTGCTCTGCTCTCCGACCATCCCGCCTGCCCACCGCCGACCACCCATCCATGAATCCATCGGGATCAGATAGAGTCTCTGGACCCTCGCAAAAAAAAAGGAGTCTCTGGAAGTGGAAGTCGTAGGATCCCTTGAAGCCCGTAGTGTCTCTGTAAGTTCATGAAGTGGAAGTGGAAAGGCGCACGCATCGATGGCCGACCCTTTGGGAGTTTGGGGAATGGCGGAGAAGGGTTCCGGCGAGGGATTTGTTTTTTTTTTGAGACAATCACGCGAAGCTTTATTTATCCTGATAAAATGTTTACAGGGACAAAAACTAGATTACCGGGGTGTCCTAACCAAACAT